CTTTTAAGGTTGCAGTAATTAAACCTCTACTCAAAAAGCCTACTCTTGACCCAGGTGTCCTAGCTAATTATAGACCAATATCCAATCTCCCATTTACTTCCAAAATCCTTGAAAAAGTTGTTGCAAAGCAGTTATGTGACCACTTGCACAAGAATGATTTGTTTTAGGATTTTCAGTCAGGATTTAGAGTCCATCATAGTACAGAAACCGCACTGGCGAAAGTCACCAATGATCTTCTCCTAGCCTCAGACAAAGGACTTGTCTCCATACTTGTTCTCTTAGATCTCAGTGCTGCTTTTGACACCATTGATCACAGCATCTTACTGCAGGGACTTGAACATGTTATTGGGATTAAAGGAACTGCACTAAGTTGGTTCAAATCTTATTTATCAGAAAAATTTCAATTTGTTCATGTTAATGACAAGGCTCCATCGTATCTTAAAGACCTCGTAGAGCCTTATCATCCTAACAGAGCACTTCGCTCTCAGAGTGCAGGTTTACTTGTGGTTCCTAGAGTCCACAGAAGTAGAATGGGAGGCAGAGCCTTTAGCTATCAAGCTCCTCTCCTATGGAACCAACTCCCAGTCTCAGTTCGGGAGGCGGACACCCTCTCTACCTTTAAGATTAGACTTAAGACGTTCCTTTTTGATAAAGCTTATAGTTAGGGCTGGATCAGGTGACCCTGAGCCCTCCCTTAGTTATGCTGCTATAGGCCTAGGTTGCTGGGGGGCCCCATGATGCTCTGAGTTTCGTTTCCTTCCCCTCCTGCTCTGCTCTCCTCTCCTCTCCTCTCCTCTCCTCTCTCCCCCTATGCTTCTATATGCCACCATTACACATTACTCACTTTGTGTCTCCTCTCTCTCGTAGTGTGTCCTCTCTCTCTCCCTGTACTTTTCTGCAGGTTGCCCTGGCCCTGGAGCTCTACATCTCTGACGAGCAGTCACCAGCCACATCAACCTGATCAGTGTTTGATTGTTGTGTCTTGTTGCTTTTCTTCTTTTGTCTCTCCTCTATCCACTCACCCCAACCAGTCGAGGCAGAAGGCCGCCCACCAAGAGCCGGGGTCTGTCGGAGGTTTCTTCCGTTAAAGGGAGTTTTTCCTCCCCACTGTCGCCAAGTGCTTGCTCAAGGGGGATTTGTTGGGTTTTCCCTATGTAATAATACTGATAACAGTAAGGTCTAGACCTTACTTTGTAAAGTGTCCTGAGATGACTTTTGTTGTGATTTGGCACTATACAAATAAAATTTGATTTGATTTGATTGCTATCCAATCACATCTTTTTATCATGCCTAAAACACTCTGTAGTGAAAAATACACCATAGCAATATTAAAATTCATTTCAATATTTCAAATATTACCCTGCAATAATAAGAACCACAATATCTGAGGCACTGTAAGAGTTTACTTTGCAAGTACTTACTGTGCAAGTTTTACACAGTACTTTACTGAATAAATTGTTGGTTGCTGCAAGAACAGCATGTGCTCTCCTCTGCATCCCCCATAAGGTTAATCACAACAATTATTTTGTGAAATCTAGTTTTGCCTGAACACCACATCTGGAGAGTTCTTAAAAATGGGTTATTTCCAAGTAAAGAAAGTTGATAAAATGCTGTTACTCCTAGGCCTAAATGTAGGACCAAGTATGTGCCTGTCAGCAAATTAGTGGCCAGTTAAAGCTGATTTCCTATTCTGAGATCTCTGATATATATGAGCTGTGATATCATATTGACAGAATTAAATAACTGCCAGTGGAAAAATTAATCATCAGCAGTGTGTGTATACATTTTTGCCCAATTACAGTAAATCATTCACTAAATCACTTTAATGAAAGCCACAGTCCCTCATACTCCATGAACAAGAGACAAACATTTCGGTGACGGAATTAAACGCAGCTGACCTCTGACTCTGCTGTGTCCTTACTGTCCTCTAGTTGGGGAGCATCAACATCTGCTGACGCTGTCTCCACTTGGTCAGGTTCAGGTGGGGCCGGTGCAGGAGTTGTAGCTGCAGGCGTGCTCGGAGCAGGATTTGGCTGAATGGAGGGTGTGGTTGTACAGGTAGAAACCTCTGGGGTTGTCGGTGCAGAGGTCAATGCTGAAAGCTGCTTACTCTTTGACTTTAAACTTGGTGGCCCTGAATCTGAGTGTAAGAAAGATGTGTTAGCACCAGTTACTACAGGAAAGAAGGCAAGATTAAAGGACATTCATGCAAATTATAACATTTGAAAGTCATTCCACTGCAAGTTATCTCCATCTACAGTTATTTAATTCTAAGTGACTAATGAGCATTTTTCCTTTTCTTTAATTTACGAAAGTCAAGACACATGACTTCAGTTTGCCTCATTTCAAAATATTAAACTTTACAAAATTCTGAAAAGACAAAATGACTTGTCACAAAAAAGTGAAGTATGGGACAATATACACTCACCAGCTTTATTATTAGGTACAATAGTATGCAATTCAATGCAATACTTCCACTTTAACATTCATAATATTCAGAGATGTCTCTATATTTTTGTCCTCCCCAGCTACATATATGAAAGGGTCAGAATATTAGGAACACCTCTAAATATAATGTAGTCCAGTACAACACCACCTAACTGTGTCCTCAGTAATAATCATAAATTGAATTTGTACATTTATGACAATTTCACCAAAGCCTGATGAGCTTTATAAACACAGATGCTAAGGTGCATGTGGTGCACCGAAGTGCATACAATTGTACAGGTGTACTTAATAAATTGGCTGCTGAGTGTATAGTGTTATGACACTACTGACCTGACTGAGGAGCAAGATTTGAATTGTTCTTCACTGTTTTGACCTGTGACAAAAAAAACCTTATCAAAAACCATTTGTATCAAGCTGTTGGAAACCATTCATAAAAACATCCTTCTACAACACCCCAATAATCAACACCCACAATATTGTGTGTAGAACACAATAACCCCCTTTAAGGTTTCACTGATCCTGAACAATATTGTTTCTCATGGTGCCCAGTTTTCTCTTGGGACCTTGAAGACATGTTTTGTGATAAACAACGAGTTACCAAGTCGCCCCCTTGCTCTAAAATTTGGGAATACAGTTCCTATGCTTATTTGGGAAATGTAAATAGGAAGTACAAAGTTTCCATTGAATCAGTGAATCAGCTGTGGGGTGTAACATTTACAAACTTTATTTAACCTATATTTGTCTATATTTTCCAAAATTAGCACCTTCAGAAGTAAACCAAATTAGCCACCTATCAGTTTCAGTTCAAGATCAGCTGCAAAAGGGTTTATTGTATTAAATTGCGCTGGATTGTAGATGTATGTTATAAAGTGGTACCTCTGAATGTAATTACAGAAACCTCACTATCACAAAGATAAACCACAAGTGAATAACAGACAAAGCAACAGAACATGTCCGTGTTGTACCTTCTTCCTGGGGCCTGTCGAAGCCTCTGCCTCCAGACAGTACTCCAAGATCTTCTGAGTGGGTTTCCTCTTCCGCTTCTTTTCCAGCAGAGGAGCGTTTTCTGTGAAACAAATGTCAAAGCCAGGTTAAGCACTGTACATAAAAAAGGTGTATCCAGGTTATCAAAACATCATATCTAGCTTTTTGAGGCTTTATTCAACACAAATGAAAGCTTAAACGTAGCACATGCAATAACGTACTATAGCTGTAACAATTAGTCAATTGATTAGTTGATTGGCAGAATATTTATCTACAACTGTTCTGGCAGTCAGATAATTGTCAGTTCAACTGTTTGACCTAACCAAAGAATCAGGGGGTGAGGTATTTTTCCCTGACAATTGTCAAACAACATAAATTCTTCAGATTCATCGGATCTTTCAACATCTCTTTCAACCAAGCAATTTAGCTCATTAAAAATATGTTTTAAGTGTTTAATGCCTTCTACAGAACAGTGTATTTTGCCTTTTGAACTCTTGATCACTGTGCAGAAAACTTGAAATACTGTCATATGTTTGTTGCTCCTGTATTAAAGCCATGCAGTACAGATGATTGGTACAAAGATGATAAAGCTATATGCAAAATGTAGCACCAGTCTGACCAGTTGGCTTAAGCTACTTGTGGCACCATCTCATTTTAAAATATAATTAATATTCTGGTTTACACAGTTCCCTTTTAATTGAATTCCGGTGAATGTTACTCAAATTATTAATTGTGTTTGCCTGGATGGCTTTCTTTACATGGATCAAAATGCACGTATAGTTCTTTTCTTGAAAAATATTTTATATAAAAATGTTTGGAAGAGCTTGTGAAAGAACTACATTATCTTACTAACTGTGGATAACATGCTGGGAGAAAAACTGAAACAAAAACAGTTTCGGTTATGTATTTGACATGCTCTGTATAGTGTGTAGTGATGCACAGTACTATGGACTTCTCTGTGTGAATAGCACTGCATGGCCTCTGCTTCAAAAACATTAGCCTTAAAACACAGTCGGTAGTTGGAGCTGCAGCAATTACTGTAACACACAGCTCACCGAGACAATTAAAGTAGGTCACTATAAAACCCTGAACACACAATGTAGAGTTTGTTACATTTTTGAGGATATTATCTCTGATGTCCATTTCTAATAAACGTTAAATGCACTAAGAAATCGTGGAAAAAAGACACTCCTCGTAATTCCAGATCTTGCCTAAAAAATCATTATATTTTTAAGTTTTCTTCTGTATGAAAGATATTCAGTGATAGTTGTCAGTATATTTGATGATCCATAGCATACGAGAACTGTTAACAGCAAATTCAGTAGGCTCATGTTATTGGCCACAGTGTAACAGTTTAAAGACTCTCTACTTTGATGACGATTGGGCAGGTTCTAGGCTCAGATTGGGCTAACGTTTGTTAGTCAAATCTGGCAACACTGGTCTGCAGCTATGTTTCATTATTTGGGCCCCTTCGCTCCAGTGAAGATAACTCTTAATGCTACACAATACAATCTTTTAGACAACTGTTTCGACATGCCTCCATGCACAAAAGCCATTGGGATGATATGGAACACAGTCTCTAAGGCACGCTTTAATGCCCAAAAATCAGTGTCTGACCTCACTTATTCTCTTCCAGCACAATAGGAGCAAATCCCTGCAGCCAGCAAACAGAATCTTGTTGAAAGCCTTCCCAGCCACTATAGCAGCATGCTTTCAGAATGGCACATTCAGCACACACAGACATAATGTTCAAGTGTTCACGCACTGTTAGGTCAAAAACAAAGATACACAAATACTCCCTCACCGTTGTCTTTGGCAAGGCTTTCTGACAGCAAAGGTTCAGCTTCAGGAGGAGGGGTTAGTGTGTCGATGGAAAGCACCTGTGCATCTTGGGGAGGTGTGTTTTCACTGCTGGAAATTTGTAGTTCAGAGGGCACTGTTGCAGCAATTTCCTCAGGAGGTGGTGTCTGTATTTCAGGAAGTAAGTTCATGGATAGATGGTCGTGTGTGTTCTTGTCTGATCCCAGGGGTTCAGACATGGAGGTAATGGGTTGAGTAGCCTGAAAAAAGAAAAGATGTGATTTCACTGTCAATCGTGATACAAGTTTCATGTGTAGCTGCAAAAGTGATATAGGATAACTAATGCCATAGTATTGTGCACATATAACAGCACCTGAATATATAGTTTAAATTGATCTTACTTTGTTTGATTTTTACCTTTCCACTTGGCTGGAGAGGCTTTTTGGTTTTCTTCCTTGTAGAGAAAATCTGATCATACTCTTGAGTCCATTCAATCAGCCTCTTGCTTGGTTTTCTTATTCGCTTATGTGCTAAGAAAAAGATATACAAGAAAAGAATGTAGCCGTTTTACAGCACCTGTTGTTAATGGTGTGCAATACCTTATAACAATTTCTTTAAAGTCATCTCAATTAATGTGATCAACCTGAATGGCTGGAATTTTAGAACTGCAGAGGATGTGTCAGATTGTGTTTCATTTTGGGCAGACTAAAACTACACTGTCCTCACCTGCCGGAGCCTCGTCGCATCCTCCAGTGTTGTGCATCAAGCTTGTCTTAGTCTCAGTGCAGTCTGCAACAAGGCCATTCGGCTGTCCCAGAAACAGAGTAGTGTTGCAGCCCCGCTGCTCCAAAGGCACCATGTTCCGTAGATTCTCATTTACTCTGCTCCACCCCTCCTCGTCCTCCTCCTCTTCCTGAACCATTTCTTCAAGACCTCCATTCTGCCTCTCCCAGCTGCTGGCCTGTGTACCCAACAGAGACTGTACTTTTGATGAGCAATCCACTCTTGATGAAGAGTCCACTGTTGGTAAGGTTGCCACTTCTGGCAAAGACTCCAGTCCTGGAAAGCCAGGTCCAGACCTGGCAGAACGACAAGGCACTTTGCGGCTGGCTTTCTTTTTCAACCTAGTGGAGGTGCCCCTTCTGTTATAGGGCCTCTTCCACATCCGACTTGTGCTGTCTTCTTTGTGTGTGATCATATTTTTCTCCGGACTGGAATTTAAGTTGTTAACATATTCAATTCGCTGATCTTGGCCTGCAGGTTTCACCTCCCCAGGCATCACTAAGGGCTCCTCCTTAACATGGGCACATGGTGGCCCTATCTCCAGTTCTAATGGGGCCCCCTCTCGCTCTCTAGTGTCATGCAAGTCCTTCAGCATCATGAGAAAAGTGCTGAACTTGTAGTTTGTGTCTGGTTTGAAAGAGATGGGTTTACCATTGGCCTCACTTGCCAGGGACTGGAAAGATACCTCCTTCACATTCTTAAAAGCATTCATAAAGGAAAATGGTGAGGGAGGTGAGTATGAGGAGCATATGTCAGAAGAATGATTGTCTTTCTTTGCCTTTACCCTAGATGTAAGAGGTATGAAGTCCATGGGTGGAGTTGAAGATATTGACAGGTCTTCGTCTTCACTCTTGACATCAGCTTCAAAGTCAACTGAATCCGAGAACACCAAAGAGGGGGTGCTACAGCTAGAAAAGGTGTCCTGATCATATTCAACAATATCATTATAGTGAGATTTAAGAGATTTTCTTTTAGTACATGAGCCCAGTTTGGCTTCTGGATTCCAAGTGGAGCTACATGCAGAGTGGCACACAGTGTCCTCTGCTTTTCTGAATGAATTTAAGAGTCCTTTCTGCTCAGTCTCTTTTCCGGCTTTCTCCCGCTTCTTCTGCTCTGCCTCCTGCATGGCCTTCAGAGCTCTGGTCATCAGTCGACTGCTGGCTGGGAGGTGGGCAGGCTGCTCACGTAGGACTTGATTCATGTCATCTGGAACCTGCTTTAATTTGTAGAGAACTTTCTTGGATTTCTCAGAAAGCAGGCCTTTGGAAACGTTCCTAGATAGAGCATTCCTCTGCCGGTGAGAAGCCCGATTTGTATTATAAGCTGTATTAGTAGCAGTTGTATTTTTTTTCTCTGAGCTGACTAACTCATCATAAGTCATGCTTGTTCCATTGGTGGTAGGAGTCTTCTTACTTTCTGACCGATCTAACTGATTAGAGGATGGGCAAGTCACATTGCTTGGGCTTACATTTAAAACTGGACTACCTGACAAGTGTGTACTGTCAACAGACACACTCGTCAAATCTGTGGTCATGACAGTTTCCTCTGGTGATGATTCTGAGGATAGACGAAGCACACCACTCCCATCACTAGCTTTTAACTTCTTAACGGAGACCTTTAAAGATACTGAACTGTTTGCCTGAGCTGTGGAGACATTCGCCTTGCTGTCCACCCAGTGTGACTGTTTAGAGGACATTTTAGTCAAATTATTATCTGGTGTCTTTTCTTTTTTTGTACGGCTAGGCTGGTCACTGGAATTAGAACTTTTAAACTTCTTGCCCTTTATGTCCTTACGTATTAATTTGACAAAGGGTAGCCTACACTTAGAGACCAGACTTGTTTGTTTTTCTAGCCTTCCTAATTGATCAGTAGTGCGAGCATTTACACCTGACAATGCAGCATTGTTACTTTCTTTTGCTTCTGCTTGATTAGAAATCCTCTCAATTACATGGACCTTTTTTTTAGCCACGACATCAGAATGTTTAGTTCGACTAATACTCTTTACACTCTCTAAAAGCCTTGGCTGGTCATCGAAAGTGACTTTCGTGCTGGGCTCTAAGGCTTTTTTAACATCTGAGCTACCAAACTGGCCAGATGGCATGCCAATAATAGTGTCAGTTGTATTATTGGGCGTCTGTCTACACTTTGAGTGTTGACACTTGTCTGAGGGCACAGTAGTTTCAGTAGAGGCCAGGGACTTCTCCTTGTCTGGCAATCCTGACGGGTCAGCAAGACTGCCAGATGTACCAAAAGGTCTATTAGCAACCAGGGTGTTTTTACACTTGAAATGTCCTGACTCTTCAGGTGGCAGATTTGTTTCAGCCAAAGTCTTATGCTTGTCTAAGAACCCTGACTGGTCACTGGGCCCGCCACTGGAAGACAGCATCCTTTTACAAAAAACTGATGAATTCTTTTTCTTACAGGGCACCTTACTAAAGAGAGTGCGGTCTGGCATTGGACTGGTAGTTTTAGGTCGCCTGTCTTTGCCTGATTTACTGAACCAAAGGCCACTCTGAATCTCTGGCTGCTTCTTCACCTCTTTGACAACCATAGCAGATGGCTGGGTCTGGACTAGCTTAGGCTGACGTTCAAGTGCTTTAGGACACAAAATCTTAGGGATTGAGTCGAGGTCAGAATATGGACACTCCCCATTGTCTCTATCTGATGGGTCAGGGCTATTCCGTAACATATTTTTAGAGTGTTTACTGCTCACGCCTTTCAACAGTTTTCTTTGTTTCTTCTTGCCAGAAGATTTCCTTAAAGTGCTTTGCTTTGGTGGAGTTGTTACTGGGGATGAAATGGATCCATTGGTCACGTGCAATGTCTCAGGAAGGGTGCAAACTGGTGAAGTGGATGAAGAAAGGGTTGGACATGCCTTGTTCTCTCTCTCTGATGTGGAACTGTCATGGAAGGCATCGTCTAAGGATGAAGAAATGGAAGAAACCATTTTGGGTCTTTCTGGGAGAACAGATTCAGCTTCTGCCACACTGGATTTCCAAGAGTCCTGAAAGCGCTTAGCAATCTGCAGAAAGAAGAATTTGTTTATGATCAACTGTTTAAACTGAAGTTATTCCTGAACAGGTTTTCATTTAGAAAAAAGTAATTACAGTGTATTTATAGTTGTGATCCCTTTGCTTCCCCCTCCGGCGCAGTAGGAGGAGCTGTTCAAATTCAAAGCCTCCATGGAAAGCGTGAGTTGATTTCTCCTCTACCCAGATGAATTCCACAGGTTCCCCAAAGGTCCTGACATGGTAGAGTCGACAGGGACGGTCACTGGGCTCTAAGACAACAAGAAAACATCAGCTTCACGCTCATTAGATGCACAGGAAGTACACGAGTGCTTTAACAAAGCAAAGGAAGCTGTACAGTTAAAGAACACAAAATTGTCTACAGAATTACAATTAAATGCACAATAATGTCAGACGTTTGAACATAGCACATTATTACATGGCTAAAATATTAATCATTAGTAAGAAAAATTTGTTGTACAATGCAGTGATTCTTAAATATATATATGTACACATGATTTATGGGACAGTGGAAGTAGAAGAAAAACTGCCAAAGTGAATCTTAAAACTACAATACCAGCAGGTCATTTGGCATGTGTCACACCCTACCAAGACATTACTACAATCCAGCATAAGACAATAGTACTTTTTACTAGACTTTAAACCATACAAATCCACAATAGCTAAGGAAAGCTATCACCATCTCATTTGATAATTTTTTGATAACGTTTTTAGCATGATGTTTCTCTCCACTGGGTAATGGCACACTGTAAGAAATTAAGTTCAGATTATATTACTTGTGCATTTTGAATTTTTTCTGCAAATTCAGTCCTAAATTACTAACTGTTGCAATCTTATCTTTTTGATGTGGTATTAAATCACCATTCATTGATACAAGAACACTCAGCTACCAACTGACAGTAGAAATCATTTAAATTGTGACCAAAATTATACATAAAGCAAATCACACAACTGAAAGCAATACATTAGTCTAGGTAAGAACATTAAGTCAGCAATGTTTCAGGCCCACCTTTCATTCTGTGATAGGTTCCCTGTACAGGGTCAATGATCACCTCACACGGCCACCATGGTCTTCGGCCGAACTTTGCCCAAATCACTTCATGCTCTAAAAACTTCACAGGTGGCAAAGACTTTTTCTTCAGGCTGTTCTGCTGTCAACAATATATCAGTGAAGAACAAAACCACAATGAGATGTCTGAAAATGAGACAGGTAGCTGTGTCAGAGCTACAAAAACCAACAGGAAAGTAACTACAAGAAGAACAGCTAATACCTCATTTGAAGTTCTGAGTCTACAAAAGAAAACAGCTGTGTATTAATTTACTTGTAAGGGCATTTTTTGACATTACTTGACCTGTCTAGGCTCCTTCTGCCTAAAAATGTTCTCTACAGGCTTTCTTCTATGGTCTAAATCCAGTTTCTCATCTCTTGTTCTGTAACTGCTTTCAAGCCACAAAAACCACAGGAGGAAAATTCCACAACCTTGTCGCACTAGTGGCTACTATATCCTCCTGAGCGTATACAGGAGTGACTGACCACTTCAGCAGATTAAATGGACTGGTGGGGCATATGAGCAGACCTGAGTTGCAGTGGAAAGTGGTAGTAAATGAACACTTAGCTGCATTTATACATCAATTTGTCTTAAAATATGGTACGACTTTCATCTAAGTCACGTTAAACTATTTCAATTTTTAAAAAACAATTGTTATTTTCTATATTGAATACATCATTCAAAGAGTCACAGTGTAGGTTGGATAAAGTATGTAAACCTCTAGGCCAATGACATCAACTAAAGCTAATCGGAGTCAGGGGTTAGCAAACCATAAACCAGACTGGAGGTGTGGGTTAGAGCTCTTGGAGCCTTCTGAATCAGTTAGCTCAGAAGACTTATGATCAAGAATTGGTGATTTGCACACAACTGGAAAGAATTACAAAGTCATCTTAAAGAGTTCAGATATTTATCACTTCACAGTTAGACTGTCTATTAATGGAGACAATTTAGCACTGTGGCTACTCTCCCTAGAAGTGGGTGCCCAGCTAAGATGACTCCAAAAGCACAATGCAGAATGCTCAGTGAGGTATAAAAAAAAAAAAAAAAGAGAGAGCGACTCAGAGTAACAACTACAGACTTAAAGGAATCACTAGAGCTGGTTAACATCTGTTCATGAATCTTCATATCATTGCTGTCAGGCAGAAACCTCATACCTCCAAAACCACTTTTCAGGAAATGAAAAACCCTGTGTACCTAAAATTATTCAACATCACACTGACAAAGTTGATATTTTTCTTTATATATCATTACTTACCTACATGTCATTATATTATTAACACTTTGCCCAAATCAAGTTCATATGAGGTTTTGCCAACAGTTTCAGGATCCAGTGAAGTTACAAGATTTATTCACAAGCCGTTCATAACACTTTTCATTGGTTAAATGTTTGTAAAAACCCACAGGCAGACATAAAGGATGATCAATAGGACTGATTTATGAAAAAAAGACAAAATATGGACGAAGGAGGTTTCTGCCCGACAGTGACAATATGCAAATCTTCAAATCTTGATGCATTGTTGCACACAGCATGGTATCCATGATGGGACACCAACCACAGAGGAAGTTGCTAAGCATTGAATTAAATCTATCAGGCTTCAAATAAACAAAATCCACCTTTTGGAGTGGCCCAGCTAGAGCCCAGACCTTAACCCAACAGAGATGCTCTGGAATGACCTCAAAGAGCAGCTCACACAAGACATCCTAGGAATATGTCCAGGCTGAAGCAGGTCTATGAGGAAGATTGGTCCAAAATTCCTCCTGTTGTCCAGGTCCGATCTACAGCTACTGTAACATCTTGTCTGAGGTTATTTTTGCCCCAGAAGGTTTGACCAGTTACTACATCAAAGGGTTCACTTACATTTATACGAGCACTGTGAATGTTTAATGGCTGTGTCATATAAAAACACTATTGTATCTGTTGCTGTTTAATTATGCCTATGCTTGTAACTTAGATAAAAGTTAGATTACACTTTATGACCGATTAGAAAACCCAGCCACAATTAGCCTAGCTTAGAATAAAGATTGTCCAAGGGGGAAACTACTAGCCTGGCCAAAGTTTAAAAAAATAAATCCTACCACCAGCACCACTAATTAACCCAATATATTTGTTTGTTTAATCCATTCACAAACAGAAATGTAAAAGAAATACATTGTGGTGTTAGAGTTTAAAAACCCACAAACTGACAACAAGGTAGCAGCCAACAAACTAATGAACTGGTTTTTCCAGGGATGTAAGACTCATTCAGCTCAAAGAAGTTAGGAAGTGCAAGTTTGTAACTAAATAGATGGTGATTACATTTATGGGCATGTAATCACAAACATCTAATTGCGTCTGTGTTGTTCTATGACCACATGTGGACATTTGAGCATTGAAGGCTTTTGCTGGCTATGAATGAGCTTTTTCAGGGCTCTGTAGGCCACAGAAGACATTTGTACATCTCACAGTAAGAAAATCACAGGTGCACATAATAAAAAATGATGATAGCTGACTTCTAACTGCTTTAGTTTCATGGTTCTGGTATTGCAGGCTCCCTGTCACACTGTCATCACTTACTGGGACACCTCAAAAGAAAGAAGCCATTGGTAACCTTATTGATAACACCTGTGCTTTTCTTGGTATGACAAGTCAAACTGTCAGCTCTGTTCAGTACATTCACATTGATTGCCCTGTGAGCTCATCAATTTAAATCAACTGTACTCTGTGTCACTCAGGTGATTAGTGGATGTTTTTCTACACAAAACAACAGGTGCTGAGACACAGATTCACAGATGAATAACTCCCTGTATCAGAGATATGGGTGTGCTCCTCTGTCTTTGGATCACCTCCTGTACAAGCAAAAATATAGAGTTCCAAAATAATGTCCCTGAAGACTGTATGCATGTCCACATGAATACAGAAAGGACTGTGTAATTGTTTCAGAAAAATAGGAACAATGCCAATAGGATATTCTGAGTTTAGTAATGCTAAAATATACTGACAGTGCAACACAAAAAGTTAACCATAATGGATTCTTTCACTTATTATTCTTTTTATCCTACTTCTATTTAAGGAATAATTGGGGTCTAAGTACAGGAACTGCAGTTCCCTTAATGCTTATAATGTTCTGGGGGATGTAAAACAGAAATACATTCTAATGTTGCCAGCAGGTTGTTTGCGCTAAGTTTACTTAGCATAATAAGGGTAAAACTTGCCACTGAATGCCTTGAGGGACTATCCCCAAACAGCAACAGCTCAGCGTCGCTCTCCCACTCGTCATCCGAGCAGTACCAGTATCTCCTGCGCTGACCCGAAGACTGGGACCGGGTGATGACTTTTGCTGACAACAGGGTAGCATCCTTAGTGTCTGAATTTAAGTCTGCAGGAGTGGACTGAAGAACACTCCCTGCCCTCTCATGTTTGTCCTGCAAGTCTCCTATAGGTGACGTGGTCTCTCGCATTTCATTATTGTCATCATCCTCAAACAAAGAGGATTCAAAGTGGAGGAAGCCGTTGGTGAAGGGGCTGTTACTATCGAGAGAGAAAGCCGGGCTAGGTGGATCTGAGAAACAACTTTCTGACTTTTTAGCTTCGGTGACATGATCGCTATGATTAGCTGCTGGCACATCTCTACATCCAGTTCGGCCCTCTGGTTGTTTTTGTCCAGCAGAAGAGTTACCAACGCTCTCCTCCCTACTTGTATTGTGGCTGCCAGAATAATCCCTGCTAGTGCAATCAGCCCAGGACTCCCTCTCCATTGCCTTCCCCCTCTCCTTCTTGTGTGTCCCCCACTCCCAGCTCCTCTCTGGCTCCCTCACTGGCAGGACCAGGTCAGGCTGGCTCACCATGCTGGTGAGATGCTGTAGCCTCCTAAGAGGACTGTAGGAGGAAGATGATGAGGACGAGTGGACCCTTGGTGCAAACCCATAGATTGATGCATGCTTGAGGGAGGAGGCTGCAGCAGACATGCTTAGGCTGATCTTGTGGTCATGGTGTCTGGAAGAGCAGGAGTGGGTGGAGATGTCACAGCCAGGGGTCAAAGGGCAGCTGGACTGATGAGTCTCCCTACCAGGGCCTGCATAAGGACTACTCATGCTGGCATGGCTCCTTCCTGAAACACAAACAGAAATCGTCAGTGTAGAGCCTACATTCTTGGCACCAAAAACCACTAGTATCAGTGTGGATGACTTAAAAAAATAAATCCCATGGCTTGTTTATGTCAGTCTATTTTAGTCTGCTGTAATGGTCCTTGATGGATTTCCACCAACTGCCTGTGGTACTCAGTTGGGATTTAAGGATATTTTCTATAATCTATATTTCTAATAGAAATTATATTTTAGCAATTTTGCATAGCGTGTTTCTGCACTCTGTCTTCCATTCAACATGTCCTAACACTGATGCATCTTATCTAAACTTATCCCAGACAGTTAGTAATGGGACATTTTTAAGAGACACAACACAGCTCGGACGTCTGATCTGAAAACATAATATGCCTTCATGACATCTAAATAAAAGCGTAAGCAGACTCACTGACGACGAGCAGATCGACCTCATGTGACTACAACGCAGCCTCATTGAAAAGCCTTTTGGGAAAATTATCGCGATATATTCAAAATGACATCAAGTACGATAAGGTCAGCAGCCTATAAGTCACATCTGTACATGCAGTATATAGACACACTGCAGCCTGTGCGATTATCACAGCGCTTAAAATCAACCCGATGTTAACACGCCGGCGCAAAAAACACGACCTGGAATTAAAATGGACCCGCGCGCACGCACGCGTATGCACGCGCTTGTGTGTGTATAGGTGTGTGCAGCTGCATGTGTCTGTGGGTTGTTTGTAGCTTGCACTGGCTATCTGTTTGCATGAGACAAACACAAACGCCACATAACATGCAAAGACGACGACACACAACAAGTACACGTACACACACTGACGCACACAAACACACAGTGACACACACAGACAATCACACTTCTACAGGCTTCCCTCCGACAGATGCAGGCTATGTGCATTAAACGACAAAATCACGGAGAAATCGCCAAATGACAGGGGATCTGTCGCGAGAATCTTACCATTCCGGTGTCGGCCACCGCAAAATTGACCCTCGACCCGTTCATTTTGGCGTTTAAATGTGGAAATTTCCAATTTTTTGAAAGCGGATGAGGGTAGTCCCAGCGGCAACACTACTAGGCCTGGATCCTGTGAAACGTACTCACTCACTCACTCACTCACTCCCCCCTCCACCTCCCTCCTCCTCTCTACATGCGCTAAAGCCTGGTCCAGCGGCCCCTGGAATAGAAATTCAGACGTGCTGTACTCCTCCAACGACACTCCCCCCTTTGCTTCTAGATAACTCCAACTTTCTAATTGTCCGTCTATGGATTTGTGCTCTGTTTAATGGCTCTTTCCTGCCTACAGATTCTGCCTGCCCCTTGAAAGTCAGTCTCTTTCTGCCGTGCGCACTGCCAGTCGTCACCACTGCCTCCCTCCCCAGCCGGTCCAAAGCATGGAGCACAGAAGGGGCCGTAATTTTTCTTGAAGGTAAAAAAAGAGAAAAATCTAGAGCTGACAATCACCAAAAACCGCAACGGACCACCGCACGACACCTCCAGCAATCGCCCCACCCCTCTTGTTAATTACAAGCACCAGTTATTAACCTAAATGAAGCTGTCATCACCAATGACATATCACATGCCAAACTTGTGCCAACAACTGGCATCACCTTCACCACTACCCAGAGACGCACATGGGGAGCACATATGCACCTGGAGATGAGACGACAAAAATAAATGAAGTAACAAAAAACGTCCACCACCACGCCTGGGAAGCAGTGAGAGCAGACTACCCGGAAAAACAGATGGGCTTCCTTTCCTGAGACGAGTTGCTGTGTAGTCTGTGGCAGCACACCCGGTCCCTTCAAAATGGAGTCCTCCAGCCTGAGAGGAGAAAAAAAAAACAGGCCACCAAGTGTTAATATATGCTCGATATAAAGTTCACCCGGCCACACAAAAACAGAGCCACAACGCGCACTTTTCCTTTGATGTAGAGGTGGTTTTGGAGGTCGATTGTTGAATTACCCATGTCACGACAGGAACATTTTCTTATTGCTCCTGTACCTCCCAAAGTCACTGTCTTACGAGCGTTTCTGCCTCGACAGGGGCTGAGGCTCACTTATCCTCTGGTGTGTGTGTGCCAAACGCATGTATGACATCAAACTCAACAGCATAATGGCACTTTGAGCGTTGACTGTGCAGATTTCATAACTATTTTGTGCATAAGACGGGAAACCACCGTCATTTTTTTGTTTTATCAGAAACGAAGGGGTGAAAGCTGTAAGGCAACTGCAGCTCTCGGCCGCGGAGACAGAGCTGAACCGAGACATTAATGCTTGTATGCGTTTGATTTTATGCATGAGGAAAGCTCCAGATTTGTAGATATAGACACAATAAGTCAATGTGGTTAGAGAGGGCGGTCGGGGGTGGGTGTTTCAGATGGAAAAATACACCCCTACACTCAGTCCACTCTTGTGTGTCGATGTGGGAAACTGCGTTTATGAGCGACACGGCAGTAAAACAGCAAACCCTTCTGTCCTCAGAAGAATAGCCAATGAAAATGAAGTACAATAAATGCAACATATAGCTCAGATGGGTCACCGGTTGTGCTTCTCGGCAGGATGTGAATATTTAACGATTTCTACAGCCACACACACTCAGCCCCTTACGTTCCCCGGTGGGTTTTTTTAATACTCAGTTCAGATGAAACCATGGAGGACAGGCTTTGGGATGTGCTTTGTTTTTCAGCCTCGATCTTAGCAGGAAGGGTCTGGTATGAAAGGAAAGAATGAGAACTGTGGAGACAGACAGGAGAGTGAAGGTGAAAAGGGACGCGCCCCCGGCACTGGCGCTGCGCACAACAGTGCCGCGCATCTGCAGGCGAACCGCCGTCATTATTACCATTCCGTTCTCATTTAGACCAGTGAACCTACCGGACTTTCCACTGCTGCATCAGACCAGGTTTCAGTATGACAAGGCACTGACGCTGCTTTAAGGTTACTGTATTCCACTGTACTCAGAAATGTTTTTAATATTTTGGCCATCCCATTTATTTGAATAGGGGTAGATTAAATAGCCTATTGAAACACCTCTCACTATAAGGCCATTGTAAATAGAAGCCTCCAAAATGACCACAAATTAAACCAAAACCGCTCTAAAACAGTTTTTAATTAACTGGACATCACAACCCTTATGAAGGTACAATTTACTGAAGCTGTGTTGTATTAGTTTTAGCTCGGGGTACCTCTTAAACTGACAGCTCAGTGCATATTCAGTGGTGGAAGAATATATTTATATATATATTAAAGGAAAACTAGAAAGACCAGAGTCTGAAAGTACATTAATAAAAGTAAAAGTCCTATATTTCAAATTAAAAGCCTACTTACAATATAAAATAATTACTAGCAAAATCAAATAATCAAATGCAAAAGTACATGCAGAAATGCTTCTTTTAGCGTGATGTAATGATAATAATAATGCTGTCATTTGTTGATGTCTTGCTAATTTTAGAGAGCTCATTCATTACAAGGCATTTCAATAGTAAAACTCTGTCTCTCTCTTATTTCACCTCTAAACTTTCATTAAAGTTTTAAAAATGCAAAATTGTGTAATAGAATTTATTTTTATTCCCCTCTCCCATTAATCATGGCACAAACCCCCAGATTTATCATGTGACCTTTTGAAGGGGGGGCTTACCCCTGGATTGGGAACCACTGAACCAGACTACCCAACTGTATATAAAGCAGTTAAAACTAACAGCTAAATGTTGCTTACACATTGATACATCAGTATTTACAATCTAAACATGTCGTGTACAGGAGACACAACCAAGTGCACCAGACCTGCAGGACAAACATGAGAGGGCAGGGAGTGTTCTTCAGTCCACTCCTGCAGACTTTAATTCAGACACTAAGGATGCTACCCTGTTGTCAGCAAAAGTCATCACCCGGTCCCAGAATGAGCTCCACTTAAGCATGTGGGAAAGTCCCACCTCTGCTTTTCTCACAGCAGTACTGTCAGCCTGTCAAATATGTCATACATGCAAAATAATGATGAGTAATTTATACTACTAAAGCTACACTACACAGGAGCAATCATGGCACAACTAGCTGTGTTGGTTCTTTCCCCACTCTCACAAGCCTCATCTGAGAAGAGCACTGGCATCTGTTCTGGTAATATGATGCTCACACCGTCATCACAGCTATAATTTTCTCAGATTTATGGTTTGAGACAATTCTGCAGGCCCAGAAATGACATTTTGATGATAGATTCTGGGCCTACTTCCATCCACTTTTTGCCTCTCAGCCTTCTGAAAACTACAGAAGAAGAAGAGACTTTGAACCAGAATTTAGTCAGATTTTAAGAAATATATTCAACATTTTGGGGAACAGATTTGGGAAACATTTTGCTTCAAACTGACAATAACAATAATCGTCCACCACATAACCCCCTATATAACCACACTTTAACAGTTTCATCTTCCTGTAGAGACTAGAGAGGAACTAACAGCAGAAGGATGGAAAGAGGAGGCTTTTTCCTGGTAGACTGTTCCAGGCCATATCAGCCTCCCTCCTCCCCTGTCAGACATTATTCTTGAGGCTGATGGTAAACTGGATGAGGGATGTCATGAGAAGAGGCTCTCCTCTTCTGTTTTAGCTTTTTAGGAACATTTAATTTTCATTAAATGAGAAAAAAATCCATTACCTATGTAATTTCTGGGTTGACAAAGTTAAATTTCTCCATCATATAAGAGAGTATTTTCACATTTTTGCAGTATTTTTTTCAAGCTGATTCACAGTTGGTTGGGTATGAGGCTCTGATGACAGTAATATTAAATACAGGGATAATAATAAAATATAATAACAATTAACATTTAATAATTGCTTTATCCTCTGTAAATATCACTTCAGAATACCTACAGACATCATTTATTATTTAACTAAATGTAATAATAATAATAATGATCAATCAATAAACATTCCTTGTAAAGACACCACATGTCCACTAGAGGACAGCACAGCACACAATATGAGGTCAGGATGGTGGGACTCGCTGTGTAACCACCTCAGTTAGCACCTGAGTCACCACCTGACTAAAGCAATTATTTGACTGGCACATCAGGTCCACACCTACCAAAACGAGTCCTCATTCTTTATTATGGGCTCATATTGGTTTCAAAATACTTAAATGAAGCTTAAAGTGACTAAACAATGTACACATCCACCAAGGTGGCATCATCACTATAACTGTTTGTAGTTTTGCACCTTGTGTTTCTAAATAAAGTTTAAGGTTCATATTTACTACACTTCTCTTAACACATAATTTCAGTTTTATAATGTGTATAATGCTTCTTAACTTTATTGACAACTCAAAACTGAAGCATTAATTTCCTGCATATTGACAATGGTAAAGCAGCAGATGAAAAACATCCACAACAATGTTCTGGATCAAGACCTGCAACTGTGGACATATACACTCCCCAGCCACTTTATTAGATATAATCGTATATAATATATAATTGAATGCAATTCAATGCAACACTTCTGCCTTAACATCTGTGTTTATGAAGCTCAAAATATTTGTTTTTGGTGAAATTGTCATACATGTATAAATTCAATTGTATGTTTATTATTGAAGTCATAGTTAAAGGTGGTGTTGTACTGGACTGCATTATATTCAGAGGTGTTCCTAATATTCCGACCCTCTCATATGTGTAGCTGGGGAGGACAAAAATATAGAGACTGGATACTGAGCTTCCACACATGTAATTGTGTGTTGTTAACTGTTCCTTTACTTAACCTGAACATTATTTAAAAAATGTGATTAATCAGATACCAAATGACAGAAAGCAGATAGATGTGGATTAGATTTGTGGGAGGAAGCATTCAGTCCACACACTGATGAAGTCTTAGTTAACTGTCTCTCACATGAAAGAGAGACATAGTCCTGGTGGCCTAGGCTTGTCTGCTCTCCCAGGAGTGTGTGTGAAGTTGAGCATGTGTGTATGTGTCTTCCTGTTGTTTTAGATTCCACTTCACTC